TGGGCGCGTCAGAGCATTCCTGACGTGCTCCGCCGATCGCGCCGGCTGGCGGAACTGGGCCCGGGAGTTCGGGGAGCCTTCGGACAGAATGCCGAAGAGGAAGTCAGCGCAGGCGACGCGGCATCCGCGCGGCGGCCCTTCCTTGCGCGCCCCGCCAATGTGTCGGGGGCCGCGCCGTTTGGGCTGATATTAATGCGGCCATGCGTGGCGGCATCATCACTCCGATTCGCTCTTGATGAAGGCTTCGAACTCTTGAGCGACGGGTCATGGAAGCGCAGGGTTCGTGCGATTGACGACTCTGCGGCCAGTTCGGTCAACGGTTCTTCCGCGCCGCTTGTGGCCATGACTGTAGACGCCCTGGGCGCGCTGGCAGCGATTGCGCGGCTGGCCGCAGCGGACAGCGCCAGGGCGCTGATGCGGCTGAACATATCAGATTTCATCGGCGCATGCAAGACGCCGCCGCTTCACTCCGATGCGCTGAAGTACGCGAATGCGGTGTGGGGCGACGGGGCCGGCACCCTCATGTGCTTGCAATTGTTCGCGTGCCTTTTTCCGGCGCGAAGGCGTCTGGCTTCCATTTGGAGCGCCTCGGGCGCGCCGTCGCATCCTCGCGGTTTCGCTTTACGTGGGAAGGGGCAGGTACGTGAGCGATACCTTCTCCACTAACCGCGAGTGCCCATCGTTGGCCGGTCAGTGCGTGGGACCCGCCGGTGAGGCCGATGTCAACCGCCATGTAATCGAGGTTTTGCTGGGATGGGCCCTGGACCACGACGTAGAGTGAGCTGGTGCGGAAGAGATCAAGGTCCTCGGGGCGCGCGTCCAGTGCTGCAACGAGAGTTAGTGTCTGCGCTTGTCGGTGCCCGAGGCGAGCGCGGGCAAGTGGGTGACCCAGATCGAAGGCATGCTGCGGCGGGGATGCCTGTCCCCGGCGGATGCCCAACAACTGGCCGGGCGATCGGGTTGGAGCGCGAGCCAACTTCGGACGGTCAGCGAGACCGTACCTGGCACCTCTCTTCTGCCATGCTAACCAGCGGTCGCGCAGAGTACCTGGGCGCCTACGCCGATCGCTGGCCTGGTGGCTGCGCTTCTTGGAGGCCAGGCCCTCGCGCGCGTGCCCGTGCGCGTGGCGCGACAGCCAGCAGGTCCTGCTGTGCGCGGGTGCGACGGGCCGGGGGGGCCTTGCGCGGGCGACGGTGTCCCCGGCCGGGAAGCAGTTTGCCTCCGCCGCGGCTCCAAGCGGGGCCAAGCGATGGTTGAATTCTCGGAAGGCGCAGGTGGCAGCGTTCGAGCTAATTGCGGCACTCGCGGGGCTGTGCCGCGTGTTCCGCTCGTGCCCAAGCGCGGAGGTTGTTGTTTTCGTTGGCGGCGCTACTGCGCTTGGGATCCTGCGCCGGGGCTCGTCGCGCTAAAATCATTATGGCGAGCTGGCGCGCCGTCCGCTCGCGGCGGTCGCGCGCGGTCGCGCAGAGCCGCGTCGCGCGATCAGGTGACAGGCGCATGGCTGGCAGCAGCCGTCCACGATTGCGCGGGCAGCTTCTGGCGCGTTCCGTCAAAACAGAAACGAAATGGGCCGACGCGCCAACGCGGCCAGTGGAGGCCCGCGAGAGGCTGCGGGCCATGGCGACCGACGGTGCCACAACGGCGGCATGGACATGGAAGCGGTCGCTTCCGTGGGGGGCCACCTCTCGGAGGCCATGACCTCTGGCTGCCCTTGCACGTGCTCTTCTTGCGCGCGTGCGCCGCCCCCGTCGGGCGCACCTTCTTCGCTGCGCGGCGCGGGGGTAGCGGAGTGCGGCGCGGGCCTCTCCGCCGCGCGCGGAGTCCGCGACGGTTTGTCCGCGCGCGCGCCACCCGCGTTTCCCGTGGCACTCTGCCACGCTCGTCTTCGCTTACGGCGATGCAGGACCGCGCCCCCGTGGCGGTCCGACCGCGCGTCCCGGGCGCGGAGGGGGGCGCGCGCGGCCGCGCCTCTGCGCGTTCGCCAGGAAGCGGGCCTGTCTGGCTTGCTATCGCGGGCCAGGGCGGCGCGCCCCGATTATCCGCCGCACGAGCTATTCAGGTTGTTGGAAGGTCTGCGACGCAATGGCATTGATTCGGTCCGCGAGCTGGTCGCGCCCGAACGGCGCTCGTTCCTGATCGACCATGTGTTTCAAGACCCACTCGAAGAGGACGAGCGCGGGTCGCTGCTGGCTATCTTCGGTGGGGCACCAGCAGGGCGCGCGACGCACCTTCCCCCTCGTGGCCCCGGCTCCAGCGCCAGCGGTTCGCTCGTAGGCAGCGCGGTGACAAGCGACAAGCGGCATCCAGCGGGCATTGTGGCGCGTCGGGAAGCAAGGTTCCGCGCGCGCGGGGCAGGGCACGCCGCTCTCGCGCCCGCTTGGGTTCAGGCCTCGGGCAGTTCGTCGTCCTCATCTTCGTCCGACGGGGCGCGCCCCGCGGCCCGCGACGGGGGGGTCGGGCGCGGCGGCCCGTCCGACAAGGTGCCGGCGTCTACGCAGCTCGCCCGGTTTTTCAGGCAGGCTGGAGTAATGGCTCGCGAACAGAACCGTCCTTCCATCCACGCGCGGCTAAGGGCGAGGCGGTCGCCGCGCGCGAAATTTCCCGCAATCGGTCTCAAGGAGACGGCTTCATCGACAAATCGGTAATGTTGGCTGCGTGCGGAAGCGCTCCTCGATCGCTGAGCGCATGGCGTTCGGGGCCCCGTCGGTGGTGGAAGTTTTCGCAGAAGTCGCTGGGTCGGCGGGGAGACGAGTTCCGGCCGACAGCCGGCGCGTGTTCACTAATTTCGTCGGGTTCCTTAAGAAGGCCTGCGTCGTGCTAGGCCTGAACGCGTCTGCGCTCGATTCTCCCCTTTGGCCATAGCGAAGGTCGCGGTGTCTGAGCGTTGCCCGGGCAACTGCAAACCGCGCCCGCGCGCGTCCCTGGGGGCGATGCGCGCCCTGCTGGACAGGGGGCAAGCCCCGGTGGACTTGCTGAGAGTCTGGACCGTCTGCTTCACTTTCGGACTGCGGCTCCCGTCCGAGGGGCTGAGCACGGTCAGGGGCCCGGCGCTGGAACCGACCAGGATCGCGTTGCGCAAAGCCGGTGACTCTGTTGTGTTGTTCTTCCATCGGCGCAATAATCAAGACAGCGCCTCGGTATCCGAGCGGAAATGCTGGTGTGACAGGCCCCCTCGGACGCGCGCGCTCCACGCGATGCGGCCCGTGTTCGAAGCCGCCGAGATTGGGGCAGGCCCGATCGCGGGCGTTAGGCCAGACGCGAGCATGCGCGCGCTGCGCCGCGAATTGCTGGCATTGGGCGCCCGCGACCACTGCTTCTATGATAGCCGGTCTTTTCGCTGGGGGTGCGCCATGTTGGTCAGGCGGCGCGGGGCCGCCGCCGGCCAGATCCTCCGGTCGGGCGGTTGGTCGAGCAAGCCTTTCCGCGCTTACCTCGACCAACAGTGCCTCGAGCGCGACGCCGCCCGCGAAGCGGTCGGGTCTGCCCCGGGTGGCAGCGGACTGATGCCGCCCAGGCGCGGCGAGGGGCGCGCGCGCCGCGCCCGCGCAAGCGCCGCGCTTCTCGCGGGGCGTTGGGTGGCACGATCGGGGCCGCGAGATGCGCCTGCCGCCGCGCGGGCCCGCGGGTCGCGCGAGCATTGGGGCCGAGCGCGCGACCCGCTGGCCCGCGCGCGCGTGGCGGCGGCGGCGTTGGCGGCGCCGTCGTGTTTTGCCCAAACTTTGGCGCGTGCATGGCCCTTGGGGGGGGCGAGCTGGTCTGTGTCGACGACGCGGCGCTTGCATTGTTGCGGGGCACAAGCAGGGGGCGACGTTGTTGCGCGGGCGCCAGCGCGGCACGGCGCGGCGCCGCGCGTCATGGCTGCGCTGCGGGAGAGCGGCTCGAGCCCCCCCGCCAAGGGGCCTCGCGCGCGGGAGGGGTTCTCAGCGGCCGCCGCCGCCCGTGGGATGGACCCTGGCGGTGGGCGGCGTCGTTGTTTCTCCCACCCTGCCCACCCTGGGTCTTGCTTGCCCAGCGCCGCCGCACGGGGCGCAGTGCGTGGGGCCGAGCGCGGTCGACCGCGCGACCCGCTCGCCCACGCGCGCTTGGCGGCGGCGGCGTTGGCGGCGGGGTCGTGTTTCGCCCGAAGTTTGGCGCGTGCGTGACCCTGGGGGGAGCGACCTGGTTTGTGTCCATGCCATGGTTCGTTCCCCTACTTCGCTCCTTCCTGTCCTCCGCGGCCCCCTCTTGCAGCCGGACAACTCGTGTGTCGAACGCCCCTGACCGCTCGAGTGTTCGCGTGGATTGCTTTTGCCGTGCCGCGACGAGAAAGTTTTGCCTACGGCAAGTCCTGCCACCGTGCCTGGGTTGTGGTTGTGAAGCCACCGTGCCGTCTTCGGGCGCTCGTAGGCAGGGTTTTCGCCCTCTTGGAAACCTCTTGGGCCGTTTTGGGGTAGTCTTGGGGGCCTCTTGGGCCGTCTTGTGGCGCGGAAAATCCGAAAAGGTCGGCTATGCGTACGAGTGACCTTTCGCCAGAGTGACCTTTGGTGCGGGCCCAATGGGCGCCCCGGATCGCTGAGCACGAGGCGGTAGCGGCGGCTTGCGCACCTGGGTTCGACGCAACCCCGCGCCCCCCCGTGAAGTCGCGCACCAAGGGTCATTCTTGCGTGTTGCCGAACATATGGGGAACGAATAATGACATAAACATAAGAACTCGGAGGTCCGCGGACCTTCGAATTTCTATGTTTATGTCACTTTTCGTTTCCCTAGAAGAAAGGTGAAAACGCCACAATTTTTCAAAACCGTTCCCCTGTTTCATCGCAGGTCTAGAGGTTGACACCAGCACCCATATCGGCGGTGTGCCTCCACCGAGGGAAGACGATCCCAGTCTCGGTGATGGTGGTGATATTCTGGTTTCCAAGGTGGCCGAAATATTTCCACCAACGCCGACATCCAGGATCATCTCCCCCGAGGCACCCCCCTGGGTTGGTGTTGGTGCCCCTTCTTCGGGACTCCACCTTCAGGCCTTCCTCACCGCGCCCGGCGAGCAGTGCCCGCCGGGCGACGCCCGCGAGCCGCCGCCGGCGGCCGGCGTGCCCGAGGCGCTCGTGCAGGGGCGGCCGGGGCCCGAGGCGGACGCCGAGGATCTGGGGCCCGCAGGCAGGGTGCTTCGGTGGTGCAGAGGTGGGGTCCTGAGGATGCGAGTGAAGACCGGTCCTCTCCCTTATCTATCCATCTACTCTGCTATATTCTCGGCTCAGGTACTGGACAGATTGGACATCCCATTGGATACTTCTTCGCCCGCAGCTCATCGGGCGCGAGGAATCAAAGATCTCTATCATGTCTCCTCCTCGTCTTCAATCCACGGACCATACGGTCGGTTCGACCCTCTGGTCGTTAACCTCCGTTCACAGTGGATGTGCCTTCTTGCAGTTTGCAGGACAGTGGATCTACGATGCTGATCTCTTCCCCTCCGTGGGGCTTCTATGCTGCTTCCAGTATGTAGACGACAGATCGTCGCTCTCTTCGACGGCCCGAACCAGCAGCGCGATAGGTTTTTCACGCTGCTCAGCCTGCGTGCTGGACCGCTCGCCCTCGAGTTTGAGCGAATATCCCATCATGGGCGAAGTCCCAGGGGCCAAAACATAACCGTGTCACGAAACACCACTGTTTCAGCAAGAAGGGTGCATCCATCGTAATCATCATTATCATCATCGTCGTCGTCATCATCAGCATCCTCCTCCTCCTTATCATCATCATCATCATCATCATCATCATCATCATCATCATCATCATCATCATCATCATCATCATCATCATCATCAACGTCATCATCAACATCCTCCTCTCTTCTTTTTTCTTCTTCTTCTTCTTCATCTTTTTCCTCACCAGCATCATCATTATCATCATCGTCGGGGTCCGAATCGGCGGCGAGCGAGGGGGCGAAGTGAGAAGGAGGAGGCCTCTTCAGGAGGCAGTGGGGTTTCTCAGAAGCCCTCTGGTCTTCTGGGAGGTTTTCGGTGTCTTCGGGGAAGGCTTATAATACTTTCCAGAAGGCTGGGGGACTTCCGAGCCTTCTGAGAAGGCCCGCCCCTTCTCACTTCCTCCCCCCAGGCTCGCTGCCCACCTATGGATACTGTAGGTTCATGCGGCGATGGCGCGTCGGCGACGCCCGCGAAGGCGTTCAAGGTTGGATTCCGCGAAATAGAACGACGCGGAAGCACCGAGGGCACGGTAACGACAAAGGACCCGACGGAATTCACGCTTGAACGATCGGGGCCACGATCGGTTCAAGGTTGAACGATCGACGCGGTGTCTAAAATCGTTACGCGCGCCGACGCCGCACGAACCTGCTATAAGAAGGGATCCAATGGTGGACTTACATTGTTTAAGACACCTCGTCCTTAGGACCCCATCCTCAGGACCACATTTTTTAGCTACCGATTGCTGCCATACGAACCCAGACGCTCTCTGTCTTCCTCGAAGAAGACGAAGACATGGCAGATACATAAACTTTCGGGGCTCCGCGCGGATTTATTTGGTCGGCGCTGGGCCCCCTTGGCGACGCCTCCAGCGCCGCCCATGTCGCTCTCCGCGCGCCATGGAGGGGGGTCCAGCGCCGATCAAAGAAACCCACGCGGACCTTGTCTTCTCATACGGACCCAGACGCGCTGTACGACGAAATGGGCACGGAGAGAGAAGGAACGAAGGCTGACAGCAGTTGTTGACCGTTTTGAGCAGGACTCGGTGTCGGTGCCGCCACGGGCGCTGTCCATTTGAGACAGAAGGCCGCCTGTCCAACAGCGGCCGCTGTTGGTATCACGGCGTCAACATCGCAGACCGGATTTCGTCGGAAAACAATTAGACGGGCTTGGAGTGTCCTGGAGAATTTCGTTCCGGATTTCGAAGTGAATTTCGGGCGGATTTTTTTGGGCCAGGAAAAAAGACTAAAAGAAATCCACGTGAAATTCAGATCGTTTTTCGCTCGCCGTTTCAGGGTTTTGTGCATTTACAGAAATCCGCGCAAAAATCCGCTGGAGCACGTCTGCAAGGTCGGTGCAGTGATCGTCGGCATTGGACAGCAGTTGCTCTTGGGCATCGTACTCAGTTTTTTCCGTATCCATTTCGGGCCCACCAGACAGCCTCTCGTCGTGAAGAGATCACGGCGGCGGGCTTTTTGCCGTTTTTGGCCTCTGGGGTTAAGTCGGGCCTGTCCCTTTACAGGAGGAATATTCAAAACTAGTCCCAAAATAGTATGGGGACGATTTTCTGATCATTTTTTGACTATTGTAGTGGCCTCCGGCCAGTGCCGCCGATCCGCGGCGCTCCGGGTGATGATGATGATGATGATGATGATGATGATGATGATGATGATGATGATGATGATGATGATGCTGGTTATGATCATGGTGATGATGCTGATGATGATGATGATGATGATGATGATGATGATGATGATGATGATGGTGTTGTGACGATGGTGATGGTGATGGTGATGGAGCTGGTGATGATCCTGGCCCCCCCCCACCCCCTCTCCTCTCTCCTGTCCCCCCCCTCTCTCCTGTCTCCACCTCCCCTCTCCTTCTTTCCTCCCTCTCTCCCCGCTCTCCTGTCCCCCCCCCCCCTCTCCTGTCCACCCCCTCTCGCTGTCCCACCCCCACAACCTCTCTCTTGTCCCCCCCCCCTCTCTCCTGTCCCCCCCCCTCTCTCCTGCCCCCCCCTCTCTCCTTTTCCCTCCCCCCCCCCTCTCTCCTGTCCCCCCCCCTCTCTCCTGTACAATTACTTAATATGAATACTACTTTCCCTCTTCCCCTCATGACGTCTTGGGAATATTCGCCCCCACCCGCGTACTGCTTTTTTACACGCAGGTTTCCCCGGAGTTGG